CACACACACACACACAGTGCGCACACGCATGCACACACGCACGCACACACTCTCGAACTCTTAACAATCTAGCGTTGAAACACACACACACATCTTCTCGATTTACACATTGTTCATGTTGGGTTGTGATGTTTGTCTCCGGCCTCTGAGTCGAGAAGGATCGAGTGTCCTCCGGTTTGTTGCAGCTGATGATCGACTCGGACCAAAATATATTTTTCACTTTCCACACAACATCCAGATCTTAACAACCACAACAATAAAGCTGTAAAGAGCCTCTTCACTTTATCTGGTCGTCATAATTTTCTTATTATTATTATTGTGGGGACTCAAGGGTAAAACTGACCACTTGGCCTTATTAATTATGCTACGGTAACATTACATATTAGTGTATTTTTTAACCATGCAACTTTGAGTAAGGAATTAAGACTCTGTACATAGTTGTGAAGAGAAAAGCAAATAGAGCAGCTGTCAAAAAGAGGAATCGCCGCGAGAGTTATATTTACATTCAGTGTACTTGACTCTTAACAAATATGTGCTAAGCTCCTGACAAATACTTCAAGTTGAAGGATAACAAACATTCTTCTGCATGTCTGCCTGTGTTGCATCATTGCAACAAGTCTTGGCTCGTAACTGCAACGTTAGTGATCATTGAATAAAGTGACACAAAGCTCAATCTTTAAGAGTCCAGTAAACTTTGCACTGACAAACTGCGTTACTAGACAATGAAGAACGTGCCTTGAACACACCACCAAGTTTTAAATCGTGGGATTATTGGGCTAAACCGACCTTGGTGGAGACTCTGTAGGTGATGTAGGTCTCCATGGTGGAGACATGCTTCTTTGGGTCATCGACCGTGACAAAAAGGTCTCGGGTCTCCGTGGAGACGTAAGTGTCGAGGCCGTCTGCTTCCGGGTCGTCGTCCAGCTGCAGCCTATTGAAGAGCGAGGACGCCGAGGCGGGGCTGGACGTCTCCACCGGCGTGCCATTGGTCAACGCGGCTTCCTGCGTGGACAAGATAAACATGGCACCACAGTGACATCAAATTCGGATGTAGGACAAAGAGCTGATAGATTTGATGCTGACGGTGATGCAGTTGTTTGTCGCAATCAATGAAGCTCTTGTTGAGGCTGCGTCGTCGGACACTGCTCTCGCCTTTCTAACTGAGTGACGAGGAGAGAAATGGAGAATTTGTGGAATGGAACATTTCGTCAGGCTTGATACAGAAAATACCAACTGTGGGAAAGTGATTTCCTGTTTATACCTGCTGTAGGACACCAAAACACTTTGATCAAATTCTATTAATACTTTCTGACAAACTATGCAAACTAACAGCATCGTGCTATTTCATTTCCAAAATCCAAAAGGGCATTAAAAAGAACATTACCACGACAGTCTGTGTTGGTAAAAAAATCATTATGATGTTATGACGGACTTGTGGACTCTAAAGATCCCAGTAGACAAGCAGGAGGGATTCAAAGTTAAACGCTGACCATGCAACAGGAAGGTGAAGAAAACATCGAGGCAGCAGCAGGGTTGCATCACCAAAACCAACCTGCGCTGCAGTTTTTTTTTGATTTCCTGATTCTCTCACGTCGTCTGTGGCCTCACACACAAGGAAGCAACTACTTCTCTCTTCCAGAAACAGGTTCATGTGCAGGATGGAGAAGCTAATGTTCAACCTTAATCACTCTCTCTGTCACACATCAAATCACCTGATGCAACTTTCCATTTCACTCTGTCTCTCTCTCTCTCTCTCTCACACACACACACACACACACACACACACACTACAGAAGCTGCTGACGTTGTACGTGCTCTTCTTGCACTGTGGTGCTAACCTGCACCGATAATCACAGTTCAGATAATTGCATTGCGTTGCATCAGTGTGAACGAACAACCAGGCCACAGATACACAGCCACACTCAGGCCGACAGCGAGGGGGAATCTGAGGACGCTGCACAGATCTGCTCTCATACAGAGCTGAGACATGTGTGACAGCACTGGGAAATATTGTGGTAGTGGGTGGATTCTGCTTTGTGATACATGTTTTGAGTTCATCTCAGATTTACGCGACAGTTTTGTGTGAGAACGGTTGAAAAACTTGTACGAGCTTCATCATCGTATCCACAAGACTATTTTTATAGTCTCGATGTCACAGCAGACACTTTGACTCCTCGTGGAAGCACAGGTCTCACTAACAACATTAGTATCGGCTCTGCTCCGCTAAAGTGTCCCAGTGTGACTTAGTGAGGCAGCCTGAACAAAACCAAGCAGCTAAATGGAATTCAGCCATACTTCATTTTATTATCTATACCTGGAACAAGATGAAATATCGTGCATGGAAAAAAATAGATGAGCATTGTGTGCAAATACAACCAAGTCTCATTTGCAAAATAAAACCGTTTAATTTTAACTTCACCACCAAAACCACGTCGAGCGGTGCAAACAAACATGTGTGAAGATCTGAAATTATCTTATGAAGTTATGTTTCTGTCTGTGCTTGTTTTTTTTGTCTGGATGTACCTGTTTAATTTGGTGCAGCTCCAGATCAGGGGGCTGGATTTTTCACTTCCTCTAACGCTGCAACATCGGGTGTTTTAAATTTCTGCGTGCTCAGGAGACTGATATTTGTGCAGATCCAAAATCAGTGAATAACTGAAATGTGGTTTTATGACGGGGCCGTCGGGCCTTGGCAGTGATATGCATGTTTAGAGTCATTCCAGTTTGCTTTAGGAATCAGACTCTGTGACACTGTTCATGCATGTTAGAAATAAGAAAAACTAGAAAATAAAGTAAAGTAGCCTTCAGAGTGAAAGGGCAGAGGGGCTGTAGCATCTCGTCTTGGTAATAATTAACCGAATACCTCAGTGGTTGCTAAGGTCATCACTCCCAGGTTTTGATAAAAACATCAGCAGCAGGAGGAAGAGGAATAAAAGCTTAGTCACGTGTTCACCTCCTCCTTCTTCTTCTTCTTCTCCATCTCTGTGTCAACACCTGAGCAGGTCGTGAAGTGAGGAAATGTGTGTTCTGACCAAACCACGTTTAAAACTGGAGTCAGTGGAGGAAACACACGGTTCACACAGAGAGGTTTGAGTGTTTGTGTGAGTGTTTGTGTGTGTGTTTGTGTGTGTGTTTGTGTTATCTGTTCTTATCGTCCAGTGATTCCAGACGGATCAGTCTGAGTCTAAACTCCAGTCCTGTGCAGTAAAAACCTCAAAAACACTAAATATCAAACCGAACATGTGTCCATGTGTGTTTTCTGTTAAACCTCCATCTGTTCGCTGTGAGTGACTGATGACTTCACCATTAAACCCTGGAGACAGCTCAGTAAACAGCTCAGTAAACACGCTACACTGGGGTCGGCTTCTCTCTCTCCACATCTGCTTCCCCACCACACACCCCCGGTCCCCCGGTGCCCCGGTCCCAGCCCGCCCCGGACCCTACCTTGTCCCCGCCGACGTCCCCCGTGACATCTGGCCCCGGGGACAGCGGCTCCTCGGCGGCGGACAGCGGATGCGGGATCTCCGCGATGGGCTTCTGCCCCGAGCTGGCCAGGCCTCTCGGAGCACCGGCACTCATCCTGCGGGAGGACGCGGCCCGGGTTAGCGGCTGACTGTCCGGTTCTCCGCGGCGGAGGAGGGGGGGGATGACGGAGAGCGGAGCCGGGGAAGAGGCTCTTCAGTGCGGATGATCGAGGGCAGACATCCGCTGGCTGCTGTCAGCTGACTCCTACTGCGCAGCTGCGGAAGTTAAACAGACACAACCCGGAAGTAAACACACAAGGCACGTGACAGCGGGGAAACGCTAAAGATCGTCTAGTGACAAGAAGAGTGGGTTGCTGGAAGAAAAACTGACAACCCTGTTAATTTTTTTACTCAAAGTCGGTAGGATGAAATGAAAAACATTATTTTAACCAATTTAACTT